GAGGCGTCTCATGCCTCTGCCATACCACCGTTATGTATAGTGGCAATATATAAACTCTCCCTGACACAAGGAACAGTGGTGTGGTGGTTCACAGAAAAAGGCCAGATGCGTAGCTTTGTGTTTTCTTTTTTTGAGATTGAATTCACGCACAGCTGATAACATTCAAATCTCATCTCCTGTGATGAGAGTAGAGAAAATGAATTGTTTTTGCTCTTAAAAGGACACTTTCATCTAGTGAATGCAAATCTTTTAGCTTCCTGATGCAGCTCAAGATTCTGCTTATTATAAATGGAAAACAGTCTGTCATGCTTTGGCATTTGCATTGGCACGCACAGTATCAGAGCATATTGAGAGGAGATATTTTATTTTATTTCTACTAACTTATTTCATGGTCGCACTTAAAATGCTATACATACAACAGAATTGTCAAAAGCTTCAGACGGTAATTTTTAGGAAGCAATGGTCATGAATAAAGACAAACATAAAGCAGAACAAGATGTGATAGTCTTTCCTCCATTTGGAATTCAACCACTCTAAATTCTTGGATTTGACTTTTTTTATATTTACAAGTTTCTGAAATGCTGGTTTCAAATAAGATCTGTTCATGGCCAGATTACCAAGCCCTAGCTACACTTAAATATTTATAACTTATGTAGTGCTCTAAATAAGTGTGAAAATTCTGTTTTTTTTAGGTGTGGATATAGTCACTGAGAGTGCAGGCCTCCACTCCCTCACTAACACCTGATGATAATTCATACCTGAGTGCATATGCCTTAAAACAGGAGTGTCTTACCTTTTGGCTTCCCTGGGCCGCACTGAGTAACATTTTGGTTTCCCTGGGCCACATCAAGTAAAGAGAAATTGTCTTGCGCCACACATAAATTATATAATATAGTTAGTGAATATACATAATAAAAGTTATTTTTTATATTGTAAAGTTTGGAAAAATGAGAACAATATGAAACTAGTGGGAAATTTTACCTTGTTTTTATAAAACTAAATCTATCAATGTCTGGTTCAATGGTCACAAATCTTAGTGAGTTCTCAAAGTGCTTGTGAGAAATGTTTGTTCGAATTTTGCTCTTTGTGTGCTTCATAATTGAAAATAGCTGCTAAAAAATGTGTGCGTTGCCAAAAAGCAATGTGATGAATAAGGTGTGATTATGAACTTCAAAAATGGAACTACACATGGGGGTCACAAAGAAAATAAGTACTAAAAAACACACGATGTTAAAAGATCTTGTGGGGCTGCATTCCTAGCTGTCCTGGGCTGCATGTGGCCCTGAAGCTGTGGGGTGAACATGCCTCCCTTAAAATGTTGGGATCATGTCAGTCCAGGAACAGTAATCTCAGACCTTCCCTCTCTCCTCCTCACTATCACTTGGACCCTTGGAGCCAGCATCTATTTCTAAGTTTAAATATTTTAATCAGAGTCTAGTCCAGAGGTCTGGAGGGTTCTCCTATAAGTTTTGTAGATGAGGTGAGAGTGTCTCGTGCATACTTTGTAGCTAAAGCCTGATTCGGACTGACTCGTGTCTGCAAGAAGAAAGAATAAGCTTTCTTTTTTTACATTTTATCTCACTCCCCTCTAAAAAAGGAAGAAAAAACAAGCCAGGCTTATCTTTGTTTACTTCTGACAACAGTTCAATTCAAAAAATATATATTGAGTGTGACTATGTCTCAGGTGCCAGGAATATAATGACAACAGGGCTGTCATGAATCCTGCTGATAAGGATCTCACAGTCTAGCCAGAGGAGATAGATGCTCCAACACATGACTCCCTTGCCGTGTATTAAGGGATGTGGCATGGGCAGCTGAGGTGCTAACAGTGCACATGGCAGGAACATCTATGTGGGACTTGAGGGGTCAGAGGCCTTCTGAGGGAAGTTGTGTCTCCATGGAGCTGGAGTTTAAGCAGGAGTCAAGTCCCATGAAGATAGGGTAGGATATAGTAAGGGAGTTACAGGAAGAAAGGACTGGAGAGTAGAGACTGAAGTTAAATGTCACTTGATAGGAGTGGTTGTATGTATGCGGGAAGCCGGGCAGGAGTGGGTAGAATGGAGGCTGGTGGGGGAAGCCAGGTAGTAAAGGGACCGTGTTTTAAATTTCCTTAAGGAAATTTAAACTTCAACAAAGCAGTTAGAAAGTTCTTGCAGTAATTTAATCTTAGTTTGTATCTTGAATATAAGTGACAGAAGTCACCATTATTGAATAGAACAGTTAAATTTTTTTCTGCTTCATATTAAAATATTTTAGATATTATAGACTATTCAGAGATTCAAATGGAAGAATTCCTATAGTAAATTTCTCCTGGAGTTAAATCTGAAAAACTACCACTGCATGTTTATTTGTTTTTTCATTAGAAAATCAGAGCAGGTAAGGATCACTAACCTAATGATCACTGACAACACTCGATTTAGAGCAAAAACAAAAAAGAAAATCAGAGCAGGAAATCTCAATGTTTTTGCTACATAGGAAGCTCAAAATACATTCTATTTTGCAGTTCTTTGAGGTGTCATATATATAATTTTTTAAAGGCGTTTTCTGACAAAACCTGGAAAACCTGCTAGACAAATTCTAAAACAGACTATAACGCATATCATTTTTAATCTTTCTTTTAATTTTAATTTTCTGGTTGATATTGTTAACCATTCTGAATTTTCTCTTGGAGTAAATGGGTATAAATCATGTATATACCTTAAAGCAGAAACATCATTTGAATTTCCTGTCTTAACGTTTTAAACCAGCAACTTCAGTTCATACTTTCATAAGAAGAATTCTTTGCTCAAGACAGAGCAAAAAGGAAAATCACACTTAAGTTTTTGAAATTAAAGTATAACCAGAAGAATAACTGAACAGCTGGTTATTCTTTACTACTGTGGGTATCACTCGATAGCCCATTGATAGCCCGGAAGAGTAGGCACATACTTATACAGAAAGTGACCTGATCAGAGTCTTGAAAACCAGCATAGCACTTTTTTCTCATATTTGAGCTCTATGCATCTATGTGCATGCACCATACACACATGGGGAGTTTGACATGCCTTCTGTGGTCATACACTATGGATGTACATACACCTACCTCCCTTTCCCAAAGGATTAGCATTAGCTGGCATGCAACAGGTAAAGCAAATCAGCAATGCCCATGGCCTAACAACTCCTCCCCCATCACACACACACACACAAATTCAACCAAGTTGATGACATGGGAAGGGGGACCATGAAAAAATTAATAAGAAAGAGAAAGTGGAAAGAGAAAGAATTTTTCACCTGGACCTACCTGCCTCCTTTGGACTTGAATAGATCTTTACTCTTTAGTTTCAACATGGGCAACAGCAGTTAGACAAGATATGCACAATATTTGAAGTTGGACAAAAAAAGGATATGAGAGTTAAGAGACAATGAGTTCCTTAGGATGCTGTGTATATAAGCTTTTAATAGGTTTCTATCAAAATTTGGAAGAAAATTGAGATTTAATTTTTTAAATTAAATTGAATATGCAACACACAAAAGAATATGCCAATTTTTTACTTGACTACACATTTTACATCTTCAGATAACATTCAGTAACTTTTTAATATCAACTTGAATATATCACATTTAAATATTTTTATTGTTTGTAGACAGTCTTCCAGCAACATAATTAATTCCTTCCCTTCATCAAAAATCTGTAATGAAGCTTTCTTTCAACTAAAGATTTTGCCTTAGCATGACAGGTCTATGTTTAAATTAAAAAACAAATGTTTCTCTTATGCATGCTTGTTTTTTAAAGGAAGCAAAAAAGCAGGCCTTTTATGAATAAAGTATTTCAGAAAGGCATAGAACATTCTTTGATATTACAGTGATAATTATTTTAAAAGGTTATAATTTATCTTATACCATTTTATTACATACTTTTTTCCCCTAGAACTTACGAAATGTATCCTCCTGAGTCTAATTTCAAGTCTTTGAAAAGGATGTAGTCTTAAGAAATTAGAAAGGAATTTAAGCTTCAATTCATAAAGCATCATTTCCCCCCATGGGAATAGTTGGAAATTACATATTAACAGCACTCCTTTAATTTAATAGTCTGAGGAAACAGCATCTAAAAAAAGAAATAGTGAGGAGGAGGCCAGTGTGATGACAAATTACATTAAACAATATGATTACCCTTAGCCCTCATAGAGTACTTTCGATTTTCCAGATCTTTACAAGACACAAAATGGAAACTCTTAGTTCCCCAAGAGGTAGATGATGAACTTACTTTCCAGATAGGAAGCTGAGGCAATGAGATACCTTGCCACAGACTATAAAAGTGGTCAGCAGCAGAATCACAATTAGAAGAGGAAGGACCTAATTGCAGTTGTAAACATGGCTGCCCAAAACACGTCAATCGAATGGCAGGAATAATGTTGGTACATCCCTGTAGCCTGGGTTCTGTCTTACTGTATGACATGCAGAGCTGATGGAAGACGGAAACTTCATTTAAAGTTGACAGCCTGTCTATTCGCCAATGTCAAGCTCATGAGATCAACGTGAAGAATGATTATTTATGGTGACATCCTCATCCTCAGACTCAGGAATGTAGTCTGTGTTGAAACTACATAGAATGTATTTCAATAAACGAGATCAAGACATGAAAAGCAAAATTAAAGGATAGCTAATGCAATAGTACAACTTCAGTCCAATATTGCTACTATTATTCCCTACAAAGAGATGTTTGTGCATACAATTAAAAACAAATCATTGCACAATTAGATTTGAATTTTAGCTCATATCTTTATGAAGATGTCAGCTTTCATCCACATGTCCTTAAATTAGGAGGGAATAAGCATGGTATAATTTTGCTGTGTATTTCATTGAACACATCCCTTTCTTTAGAGTACAAAAATGTGTCCTTATCCACTGCAAAGCATTTTCCAAGCTCTTCAAATACATAAACACTAAAGAAAATTTGACTATTTCACCCAGCAGGGGTATTAGTCAAACAAGAAGGATGACCACACTAGAGATACACCCAGGTGGGAGATACTTTGTGGGAGGTGCAGGAAGATCAACAACTGCATTGTCTTGTCGGTGCAGGAGAATGATGTCCATCGGTGCCAACACACAGCTATTGTGTGAGTAGCCAGTACAGTAGGGACACGCTGACATAGACGACACATAGCGTTATCCAGTTTATTCTTCTGATTGGCGGCGGCCTGCGATTACCTGTTACGTGGAGAATGATCTTGGAAGAGAGGGTGCCACTAGAGTTTTGGGCCCGAGCCACATAGAGGCCTGCATCTGCCTCACATACCTTTGGAATGAACACCAAATGCTTTGTCTCCTTGTGGGAAACCTGTAAGTGCCCATCTGCAGACAATCTCTGGCCCTTCTTGTACCTGAAGCAGAGAGTCAGTTTTTAAAGTCAGGATTGCTGTTTATTCACACCATTTCCAAGTTATAAAAACTATTGCAAATAGGCCCATTTCCACTGCAATAGGATTAGCAGGAACTTTGTAGCTACAACAAATTCCAGTGAGGCTGTTTACCTTTCTATCTTTCTCTCTCTCTTTCCTTCCTTCTTTCTTTCCTTCCTTCTTTCTTTCCTTTCCTTCCTTCCTTCTTCAGACACTTTGTTGTCCAGGCTGGAGAACAGTTGTGCAATCATAGCTCACTGCAGCCTTGAATTCCTGGGTGCAAAGTGATCCTACACCTCAGCATCCTGAGTAACTGAGACTACAGGTACATGCCACCACATCCAGCTAATTTATTATTATTATTTTAGAAATGGGGTCTCACTATGTTGCTAGTCTTGAACTCCTGGCCTCAAGTAATCCTTCCACCTCAGCCCCCTAAGTAGCTGGAAGTATGAGCTGTTTCTCTTTCAAGCAGAGGTTGGTAACTGGTGGCCAGAGAATTGCTTTGTCTTGCTCAGATCATGTTTTTGAAAACCTGAATTTTTTGACAACTTTTAGCAACTGGAATATTATATATGAAAACCCAGATATCCAGCTACTCTAAAAAATAAACAAAAACAAATCATCTGGTCACACTGGGCTACCATTTGCTTATGGTAACAACGACCTAGAGTGTGAAATAGCATCTCATATTTGGCCCGCTTTATTCTTTCAGTCACTATGGAACAGCAGCTGTGACTCCTTGGAATTTGTATTGGAGGGAGACTCATCTGCCCCACCCTATTCATACCACAAGGTCCACATGACAAAACAGATGTGCTGTTTAGAGAAAGGCACGTGTACATCATCTCCTGATGAAATTAGCTCATTTAATTTTTGTAAATTGACTTCATTGGAAGAAGAAAACTATTTCTAACTATGAAAGATATATATATAACTGGATTATGACTGTTAATATATTTATAAAAGTTTCCTATGGATGTGAGCACTTAACTGCATCTTTTAATAAAGCAAATAACATGCTTATATTATATATTGAGATTCTTGTTTATTTATTTATGTTCACATTCTTCCACACAAGCAGTCATGGCAAATCTGAATCATTTTCTGTTCCCATTGTCTCAGTGACAATTTTGCATTTTTAAGTTTCTTAAGAATGCATGATTCTCTAATCGTTTTTAAATTGATACTTGAATTAATTTTTTGGTTGTAAACCTGATGACAAAATGTTTTTTCACAGGACTGCCACGGTTCTTCAACAATATATGTGTTGCAATGGTTCTTTAACTATATGTGCTAACCAAGTTATTTACTGTGTGGACAAAAACAAACACTGCAGACATTTTTCTTTGGGGTGAACTGAGATTTAATAATGAATTAAATATATTTTAAATTCATAAATATTAAGTTCCTGATTTGTAAAAAGCATGCAATTGTAAAAATAATAAAACAAAGAGCATAAGTGGTTGCACTACAGCACAAGTGCGGTTTCTTTTTAATAATTTGAGAAACCAAAGGTCTCTCCTAAGTTCTTTAGATAACTAGTTCATACTTCAGGTACCATCAATGGACATACAGTAATTGAAACTGTTAATGTCTACTGAAACATTATAAGTGCTATTTTACTTATCTTAGTTTATAAGTATAAGCACACTCTTACATATTGGTAGCTTTGTCCTCAAAGAAATCTACTTAAGATGGAGAAATTTCTAAACGTTTAAAAGTAACACACATATTGAGAAAGCTAGAACTACTTTTGTTGTTAACAACAGAAGGTGATTCAAAACCTTTATTCTACAGTTTGCTTTTACGAAAACAAATAGGCTAAAAAATAATGATGTCTCCAGAGTGAAATCACATTGTTCACAGCTCAATTATTATACTACCTTTCAAAAATGAGTTTATTGCCTGTCACCTGGAGCAACTGCAAAAGAAATAGTTTTATTCCACCTCTCATGTTGAGGAAATGTATCAAATGAGATCTCAGTAAAACAAATATTACCAAGATAGCATGTGTGACTGTTGGAAAGAGGAAAAAGATGAAATAGGTAAATGTGAGAAAAGGGAAATCTCAAATTCTTATGTGCTTTAATTGCATAAGAGACGTTAAACCAAGAAAATCTCATGCTTATGTGGAAATAGACAATAGGAAAGAATTTCAACCCACAATCTTTAGAAATGAGGAATGTTAAACTGAAAGAAAGACAAAAACAAGTATAATCAACTTGCAATGCTTCTGAAGTTTGTTAAATTATTTTATATGGTTACTTTTTTTTCTTAAGGGTGTTATTCATGCTGCTACAAAAATGAGAATTGGGGGTTTGATGTGAGATTGCACCATGCAGAGTTGCAGTATCCTAGAATATTAATCAGCTAGCTCTAAACCTTTAAGATAGTGCCCATAGAGTAATTTTCTCCGTGATTCAGTTTGTTTCTGTTTATGACTTGTCATTATAGGCTACCCACCATGTCAGTGTAGGTTCTGGAAATCCTGTTACTTCAACTTCCAAAGTCACTGGAGAACCTTCCACGACAGTTACATTAGACAGGAGCCTGGAGAAATTAGGTGCCTGGTCAGCTAGGCTGACCACGCTGTTCTTTGCTGATGGGCTTTTAATCTCTTCTCTTATTTGCTTCTGACAGCCCCGGCTGGTACCTGGTTGAAATTCGAGGCCGGAGAATGCATCAGGGGAAGCATGCGGCCTACCTCGGGTTTTAGTGAAGTTATCATCAGCATGCACTTTCTCCAGTGTTTGTAGCAAGACACCCTGTGCCTGGGGGTGCTGCTGGGAAGCTTGCTCATGCACCTCACTCAGCATGCTTTCTGGATGGTTAGCACTGATTCTTTGCAAGGCAGTACTCTTTTCCAGAAATCCTCTGGAGGTCAAGGGGGGCACAGCTTTGAGTTGGGAGTAAGCCTTCTCAAAATGGCTTGAAAATGTTTCTCTCTTATCATTGCATGCATCAGCAAAAGCCACAGGTGGTGGAAGAACAGATTCCTGGGCCTCCCCTGGACTGCTGGTCCTGGCCTGCACCCCGTGGCTCCTTATGTGAAGGTTGAGGGGGGAGCTGGAAGGCTCTTCCACCTCCATGTCAGATGGTACAAGAGGGGACTCAGGGCTTCCTGGGAGTGGAGGCAAGGAGATGTCATCAGGTGAAGCACACTCATATTCTTCTCCTGACAGCATGTCTTCAGGCAGGAGCAGGCCCTGGACACCGCCCTCCTTCTCAGTGGACAGCTTCAGGTCCCGTGGAAGCCCATCTTCCCCCGTTCCATTGATGGCCAAAATGTTTGCCACCTGGGCCTGTCCCTTGAAAAGAGAAAAGCCAAAGCTTTCTTAGTCATTCACTTTTCCCTCACCAGGTTCAATTAGAGCGACACTCAACTTCAGAGAGACAACTTGGGAAACCTACAGTGAGTTACCGCTGAAGAGGCTGGAACAGGGATTAAGGATGCGATGCCATTTGTCTGTCCAACTGGGGCACAGTCCCATCCCAGACTAAGAAATTGTTAAACTTTCCTCAAGTCTCTGATTAAAATGTGATAGACCTTGTGAAATAAAAGAGAGAAAGTCCTAGATTTCATCTGTAACGAAGTGGATGGACTGGATCAATGTCTTTCAAACTATGATCTGGGGTGTCTCCTCAACCAGAAAACTGTGCTTTGGTCCAGTTTGTCTATACTCCATGTGAACACACAGTTCCTGAACATTGTAGACCCCTCTGTTAGGTGATCCCTTGAACCCTCCCAAAATAACCTCTCTTCTCTTTCAAGAAAATCATTCTTTTTTAAAAAATAATAATTGAAGTAAAATACACATACCCCCAAATTTACCATGTTAATCATTTTTAAGTGTACAATGCGGTGGTATTAAGCACATTCATATTGTTGTGTAACCATCACCATCATCCCTCTCCAGAACTTTTTCACCTTTCCAAATTGAAACTCTGTAGCCATTAAACAATTAAACTCCCCAATTTCCCCTCTTCTCTCTGATTCAGCTTCTGGCAACCACCAGTTTCTATGAACTTGACTACTTTAATTACCACAGCTTGAGAAAGCCATTGTTAGTGACTTTTTAAATGTTTATATTCTTAAAATCCTTAATTTTATTCTTACATTGATAAAAAAAAATTATTGAGCACTTACTATATACTACGTATCCTGCTGTATTAGAGGGATAATTTGGTGAGTAAAAGTAGATACAGTCTCTGCAGTTATGGAGACAATAGCCTAGTGGGGCATGTAGGTATTAATGGAACAATCACGTGCGATGGTCTTTCCCAAGAGAGCACACTAAGATACAATGGAGCACCCGCCACTTGTCTCTCTTCCCCAATTGGAGTGTAGGAGAGGAGCCATGAATAGCAGTACTTGTTCCCTTTATTCACACTGTCCTAGTCTTTTTCCTCACTAATCCATATCCATCTCTTGTTTAAGAAGAGAATGAAATGTCCCCTTACATAAACTCAAAAGAACATTGAAGCTGAAAGGTGATCTTATCTATTCTAACCTGCTTGTATTATATCTACTTTCTATTCCTTTCCTCAGCATTTTGGGTATATTTCTACTTAGCAAGCACTGCTATTTGTCCCATTGCAACTAATGCACATAGGACAGTCATATCTTGCCTTGGCTTTGGTTTCTTCATATCAGACCTTACTCTTGCTCTTGACATACATTATATAAGTGATTTCACAGAAAATAAATGTGTTTTCAGGTTGAAGAGTCAAAGCAAAACAATGTTCCTTATATTATTCCACAGAGGTGACCTTTCCTCAGAGAAAGCAGTAACCCAGCTTAGAGAAAATGGTTTCCTTCAGCCATTTTCTACTAAATAATTGAAGTAAAATACACATACCCGCAAATTTATCATTGTAATCATTTTTAAGTGTACAATGCAGTGGTATCAAGCACATTCATATTGTTGTGCAACCATCACCATCATCCATCTCCAGAACTTTTTCATCTTTCCAAATTGAAACTCTGTAGCCATTAAACAATTAAACTCCCCAATTCCCCCTCTTCTTTCTTTTTTTTTTTTTTTTTTTTTTTTTTTTTTTTT